TTAAATCAACGGTGCAGAAACTATTCGAGTACCTGGTACCTAAATTTGTCGAGACGTTCGCGGACAGTTAATCTATTTATTGCTAAGATGCATCCAGGGTCGTTGACCTATGGTATGTCGCTCGAATAATTTTAGGCAGTCACGAATTTGGAAATTAACCGTGCCACTGAGCTCGAAATTAAAAAGGAGGAGCATGGTCAAGATCAATGAATACTAACCACACGTGTCTGTTCTTTTTGATCACGAATGATTTGCGTTATACGATATGTTTTCAATATTTATTCTCTTCCATTTTCTTATTTCATAAATTTTCGGAATACAAAATATATTAAAATGAAAAACGAAAATTCTGAATAAATTTTTGAATGTAGAAGGATGATGATATATGATGATATATGAATTTTTAATAGCATATTAATCAAGAACGATCTATAGATCTATAGATCTAACGTCTGTTAGATTATCTAACGCACGGTGATTTTATAATAAGTTAAAAGACGTTCAACAGAAAGATTCAAACATCTTGGAATACATTATCGATTGTAAATTTGCGAAGTGAATTTGATTATTCGACGACCCGATTTCTGGTGGTAAATTCCGCGTGGAATTTTGATTAAGACTTGCCAACCGAATTCGCCATCATGATTTATTTATACGCATGTCCTCAAATGAAATAATATTGGATTCGTATCGAAGAAAGTCGCCTTTGCCGAAGATTCTCTATCAATTTTAACGCTGTTCAAAGCATAAAATATTATACGTGATGTATTTTGCAATAAATGTATACGTGATTTAATAATCCAGCCGATATTCACTTAGAATACAACTTCCTTAAGGTAAAGAGATTAGTGTTAATAAAAAAACTCGAAGGAACGTATATCCATTCGAAGAAACAATGGAGAAAGGGAAGAATGATGATTTTATTGTGATTCTTATTTCAAGTGAGAAATCTTTTGATTAAAAAATATTCTAAATTATATTAGAAACTATATTGAAATCGAGATTAATTGTGATTAAAGTTAATATAATATCATATACGGATTGTTATTATTTATTTTTTTTTCTTTATCAACGAAACAATATATTCTTACGGAAATGTCGAGTTCACCAGATGGGCGGAAGGCCCCTCCTCCGAGGCTGAAGATTCAACTTCCTTTACCAGGGCAGTATTATCCGCAGACTGGTATGGGATACGTTTCAACCCCGTATGGTCAAACTCCTATGCCGATGACACCGGTTTCCGGTCAACCGCAGATGCTTTACGCGAACAAAGCCAGCGAATTTGTATTTAGCCAGTTCAAAGGTATCAAGGATCTGACCAAATCTGGATTGAGCGTCGGCGAGAAGAGCGCATTTTGGCTTTACGAGAAGGTCTGCGTAATTTCGTGTGTGTTTCTCATACGTGAATCAGGATAGGTCCCCACTGATATTTACAAATTTGTGCACAGGTCAGTTCCTGGAGCAAACGATGGTTCACGCATATTTTCTTATTTGTTATCGTGCTTTTGTACAGTATTGGAGGCGCGATGATATTTGTCACGATCGAGGGAACCAACGAAGAAGTGGCGCATGGTAACATTCGAAAAGAAAGGTGAGTGTAGAGATAAAATTTTTGAAGAAAATTTTTTTTTTATATTTCATTTATAATTTCGAATAATTTTTCATAAGCAATGTCACGTAACCAAGAAAGTTTTATCGTTTCTTTTTTTTTTTTTTTTTTTTTTTTACGGAAAGGAAGATGCAAGAAATGTAGGAAACAAATTTTTTCATTAATTATTTTTATATGATGTATGATATATAAATTAATCTTAAGTTTTTTAAATATTTAAATTATTAACTTTATAATTTATAACGTTTAACTTATATATAAGATAAAAATAAGATAAAAATTATTGATATATCTAAATAAAGTTTAATAGAATTTAAGAAAAAGAAGAAATTAGATTAAATATTATTATATATAGTCAGGTTAATAAAAGTGAAATTTTTATTAAATGTAAATTTAACTAGCATCTATAAATCTTTTTTATTAAGATTGTATACAGAATGAAGGATGAAAAATTGATTTGTATTTGTTACACTTCTTTTTTTTTTATATAAAAAAATCTTTCACATATTGATATCATTTATTATTTCTAATAGAAGGAGTGCAAAATTTTCTACACTCAATAATCCATTGGCTATTCTATTTCACATTTGACATGAGTTTATGCTTTCAACTCGAAGAGAGAAACATGATATATCTATATTTTGCACGCACACAAACACGTTTTAACCTTCATTCCAAGGAAAACGAGCTTGAAGAATAAGCACAAACGTAACGACAGAAATAAAACATAGATAACATTATATCGTTTTTATCGGGAAACTCGACAATATCAGTGAAAAAAATGGGACAATCGAACGCGTATTAAGACAAACACGAGAAAATAATATATAATATATTGTTTTATTTCGTTATCTTTGTTTCTGTGACCTAACTTTTATTTATTTTAATCCGATTTCACGTACGAATTTTTTCATGAAAAATAAGAATAATTGCATTTTTCTTTGCGTGCTTACTCAGATATTTTCATGCTATAAGAAACTAAATTCTTTTTGCATAAACATATCAATATCAAGTTAAATAGTACTCGTCTATTTTGACTGATTGCGACGAAAACAGGCAAAACATTTATGTACAAACAACATTTATGTACATACGTATGAGTCGTTAACTATGTCTGAATCGTAATCTGATGAAAGCTTTCTATCACGCAAGCATGTTTCAAATTATCGCGATAAGGTTTTATACAGTATGCATCCTCTGCATTCCTTATCCTTTTGAAATTGCACAAAAACACACTTCATAAACATTCAATTAATTTATTAAAGTAATATGAATTCTATGAAAGTGTTTTCTCGATATGATTTTAATATAGATTAAATTTTGTTACAAATTCTAATTTTTTATTAATTTAGAATTAATTTCTAATTTCTCTTAATTTCTATCAAGTTTTTCCTAATCTTTCATTTCTTTTTACAATTTGGCCATAATACCAACAATATTGAAACATTCATAACTAAGAATTTCTTTGTAAGAAAAAGTAAATTGTAGTGTGATTGTAAAAGTAACCAAAAATGTCATCTGATAATTTATCTTTCTATAAGTTTTATTGGCACAAATATAATTACATTTTGTTGGCAAAAAGTAAAAAAAATTTGAAGATATGTAAATTCGACTATGATCTTAATCTTCTTAAATATTTAATTTTTAATTATTTTATTTTTAATGCTTATTATATAATATTTAATTTTTAAAAAATAACTATTCTCTAATAATTTCAATTTCATATTTTAAAATACAATAAAGATTTATTTTAATTATGGTTTTGGTAAAAAAATTTATTTTAATTATTAATTTCAATTATTCATTCAATAAAAAAAATAAACAAATAATTATAGAATATTTTAAATATAACAAAACATCTACATTTAGCAAAAATATCTAATAAATAATACAATGATATAAAAATTCATAATTATATCATTCAAAATTATAATCTCTGCAGAATTTTTTAAACATTTATAAATTACATTACTCAAAAATTTTTTAATATCTACCATTTTCTTAATTAAATTTAAACTCAATTATCGCTATAATTAAGTTGAAGAGTTTCTCAAATCTTTTTGAATCAAAATTCAAAAAGATAATTCAAAATAAAAAAGTTACTACTTTTATAATATTTTCAAATCCATTTTCATCATTTAAACTGTTTCATCTTGTCTCATTTGTGATATTTTATTCCTTCATCTTTATGCAAAGTACAAAAGTGGAATTCATAGCAATGTCCACGACTTCTTTGACTTATTCCACTTACCGGCAACGATTTCGTCTTATTTGAAGGAGGATCGATTTTTCCACCATATGTTCATTTAAAGAAGAATCGATTGACCTTAGAAGGAAGGTCAGGTTTAACACAAGATTCGCGTCTGACCTCTCTTTTATTCGTTGAAAAAGTAGCTATGACGTGACCGATCCGATAGAATTCTGGTGCCCAACCGATGGGCCGCGAGAGTTGTTTAAAAATTATCGATTTTTGGCACTTATTTATTTTAATATTGATTTTTGAATTTTAGAGTTTATTAAATTAATAATAACATAGTAGTATTAATATACGAAATAATTATTATTTGAATTTTTATATATATCTCGATTTTTGTCTCATTTCAGCAAGAGGAAAGCTTTAAGAAAAATTTTAAAGTATTCTTTATTTTAATTTAAGAAATTTGACCAATTTGCATGCAAAACATAGATAAGAAAATTGAAATCAATAAATATTTGTACATATTGTAACTTAAAAATGTTAAATATAAAATAAAATAAATTATATTTATTTATATCGATTATTTCCATGTTTAATATCAATCAATCGTATAATAGTTGTAAAAGTGGTTTAAATATTTTAATTTGATAAAAAATTTTAATTTTAATATATTTATAGAAAAGGATTTGGACGAGAAAGGAATCACAAATTATGATTATGATATTAAAGCCAGAAAAAAGCTCAAATATATTAAATATTTAATATATTTAATATTTATAATTAATTAGATTATTTATATTTAATACATTTTTTAAAAATATTAATAAATACATTATTAAATCTATTTAAATATTAATTTGAAATTATATATTATAAAATATTTATTTTTAATATATTTATTTTATACTAAATATATTTCATTATATTTATTTACCTTTTATAAAAGAGAATTTGCGAATCTGTGAGAATTGCAGATATTTTTAAAAATCGGGAGAACCGCGACTTAAAAAGGTTTGAGAAACACTGCGACAAAAAGAAGGAAAACATGTGTCGTGATTCAAGTACTCGATCAGTGTTAACCATAATAATCTTTATAAATCTTTTTTCTTTTCTTTAGTAGACAAATAATTTGTTTTTTTTTGTGAATTCTAATTAAGGATGTGCAAGTGTGTTAATTGGAAACTTAGAAATAGATTTAAAAATAAGTTGCAAATGTGTTTCAATGTTATTTTGAATATAATATAATAACTCGATGCTTAAAATAATCAAGAAGGTCGATTAAGTAATTTAAAAAGAAGGAATTTTATATGCGTATTTTTTTAACAAATGAAATATCGCGTGAAATGTATAATGTTAAAATGAGTATTTTTATTTTATCCTTTGTTTAAATAATTCAAGATTAAAGATTGAATTTTTCTTAGGTTATGTAAATTTTTTTTCTATTATTTATCAAGATTGCAAACTTGTACAGAAATTAAATTTTTTTTTAGAAATTTTTTTTGAAAGGGAAAGTTTTTTTCATTAATTAACGATATAAGGAATATATTTTTTTTCATTGATAAGTATATTTAAAATATAAAAGATACACTAAATATAAAATTCCTAAGGAAACTTTTCTCAATGAAATTAAAAATTTAGAAAAAGAAATTCAAGGATGAAATTTTCGATGATTTAATTTGCTTGTGAAATTAAATATCTGTGATAAAAATATTTTTAGAGAGAGAAAATAAAAAATATGATTTATTTAATATAAAAAATTATAAATGTTTAAAATTTTAATACACTAAGTTTATTTAATAAAATTATACAAATTAGTCAAACAATTTGAAGCTTCATATTTTTTTTATAACATTATATTATAAAAATACATATATATATATATATACACGTACAAAATTAAGATCAAACAAAATCTGCAATACAATTATCGACGACTCTTAGTCTAGACAGAATCGAATCTTTTGGTATGTTTATCAAGCCATTTTGTCATTTCCTCCGATAATTCAGCTATGTCGAGCTATTTAGACGAATCACGAACGAATCAACATGTAAAAGAAAACCGATGATTTGATTGCTCTTTGGTTAACGAGACGAAAAAGAACTGCAATGAAAAGGGAAAGAAGTCTGTCTAGTAATTACAAGACTCGAGAAATAATTCAGAATATACACGTGCATGAAATACATCATGTTTTTTCTAGATTGCACAATTTATTATTTGTATAAAACGTGTTTTATTTTATGTATATTTTTATATATTTTATTTATTTATTTCTTTTTGTTTTTTTTTCCTAATGTTTTATATTTTAATTGCACAATAAATATCTATATCAGAAAATTTTTCTTTTTCACATTAAATTAAAATATCGAAAAAATAAGAACGAAAGATGGAATTGCTATGAGCATTTCGAATTGCTTGCTTTTGGATCGTTTAAATGATACTATTACTATACTATTACATGTATATACTATTACTAGACAAAATCTTTCGACCCATTTCTGGGAATAACATTCAAAACAAATTTAGATTTAATTTTTTTTTTTTTTAATTTTACTGTAACTTGGATCTATCTAAATGCAAAGTTTTCCTGTAACCTAGATCTATCTAAATGCAAAGTTCATATATAATATATGATGTATTATTACTATATCAAAATTTGGAATTATTACTTTTTTCCTTTTCAAGTTGAATCAGATATCATTTTATTTAAGATTAACTTTTTTTTTTATGAAAGAATCTTTCAAGATCTAATGGAACTCTAATCTATTCTCTTACTTTTTAATATTTATTG